TCAATTTACCGGTTCAGGTCAAACCTCATCTACTATGGTGGACCAAGAGATCGAATGTTTGAATAGGCGTCTCGTTAATAGAGCTGGAATCGATAACACTTCTCTACGTAGATGTGTCACTACAAGGTTGGGGAGCCCATCTTGCCAACAGGACGGCATCAGGGCTATGAGCAATCAAGAGAGCAAATTACACATAAATCTGCTAGAGATGCAAGCAGTGATAAACGCCTTAATGCACTGGAGCAACTTACTACAGTATACCCAGTGGATGATTCACACAGTCAATTCGACAGTGGCGTTTTATGTGAACAAACTAAGCTCAACCAGGTCCCCGAACCTATCGACTCTATGTTTTCAATTGTTCGATTTAATCGACAATCTCAACATACATGTCAGAGCATATCACATTCCAGGAGCAAAGAATGTGATAGCAGACGCTCTCTCTCGGCCACACATACCATCGCCGACAGAATGAATGCTCCATACAGAGATATTCACTCAAATTATCAAGGAAATAGGAACTCCACTAATAGACCTATTTGCCACTCGATTCAACAAACAACTGACAACATTCGTATCGCCAGTTCCAGACCCACTAGCATTGGCAACAGACGCACTAAGCATATCGTGGGAAGGACTCAACGCGTACGCTTTTCCGCCACCAGCGTTAATCTCACAAGTTTACTCAAAATCAGTCAAACGCAGAGCCTCCATCTGAATTTGGTCGCGGCCTACTGACCAGCGAGAACGTGGTTTCCAACTCTTATTCAAGAAATCGGACAACCAATACTACATCTTACAGAGTGCTCGAATCTGTTAATACATCCGCACACCAAACAAGCGCACGGAAAGCCAGAAATATTCCAACTTCACGTATGGATTGTATCAAGGCGTGTCTGAATAACAGGTTATTCAGCCAGAGCGGCAAAGCAGTCTAGCTTGCCCTGCGTAACTCAACTTGCAACTTATACGATGACAAATGGCACAGTTTTGTCAATTATGCTGCAAAGAAAGGATTTACAGCTAGATATGCTACTCATCCTCAAGTGGCTGACTACTTATGTTATCTACGTCAGACTAAGATTTTAAAAGGCTCAACTTGTCCACCTATCTTGCAGCAATAGCTCTGTCATAACTGAGAACGGGCGTCAAGTTAACCTAAACCCAGTTACTCGCCTTGCTACGAGCTTTCCGATTGGAGGATTAAAACGGAAGTTTCACGCTCCAACTTGGGATCTGAATATAGTGCTCCAACACCTCACAAGTGAGGTTTATGAACACGCTTTGATGATATACTTGGACCCCATGATACGATGAATCTATCACGATGGCCAGTAAGAGCACTGAAAATATATCTCCACCGAGCCAAACAGGAGGGAAAAATTCAAGAGATTTATTTCCTCTATCAACAAGCTACGCAGACTGAAGTCTCACGTACTACTATCTCCTTTTGGATCAGAACTGTCATACTACGTGCCTACAAGACTGCAGGACTCGACCCTCCAAGAGCTTCTAATCCTCATGATATTAGAGCGCTAACATCTACACTTGCTCTACACGGCAAGTGCTATTGAAATACCATAATGGAGGGTTATTTCTGGAGATCCGATATGGTGTTTGCCAACCACTATCTGAGAGATATCACCACCGAGGACGTCTCAGGTATCCACCAATTCGGTCCCATGGTCCTCGCACAACAGTTGACAGTTCCTCGGAGAAGATAAGTCAATCTTACAGATTTCTACTTATCTTATAACAGTACTAAATACCTACATGCTATATATATTTTGCTTAAGTTCTTTTATTATCTTAAGCTCAGTACTATGGTTATTATATCATACAATATATAAGCTAACAACTCTACGGAGTTTTTGCTATTATATATGTAGCTTAAGTTAATTATATCTTAAGCACAGTACTATACTCATATCATAAAAATATATTAGCTAACAAACTCTACGGAGTTTTTGCTATTATATATGTAGCTTAAGTTTATTCATATCTTAAGCTCAGTACTATGTTTATATCATATAAGTATATTAGCTAACAAACTCTAAAGAGTTTTTTGCTATTATATATTTAGCTTAAGTTTCATCATATCTTAAGCATTATGGTTACATTATAACATGTATTAGCTAACAAACTCTACGGAGTTTTGGCTATTTAGGTAGCTTAAGTTAATTATATCTTAAGCACAGTACTATACTCATATCATAAAATATATTAGCTAACAAACTCTACGAAGTTTTGCTATTATATATATAGCTTAAGTTTTATTCATATCTTAAGCTTAGTACTATGTTTACTTCATAAAAGTATATTAGCTAATAAACTCTAAGGAGTTTTTGCTATTATATATTTAGCTTAAGTTTAATCATATCTTAAGCTCAGTACTATGTTTATATCATAAAAGTATTTTAGCTAACAAACTCTAAGGAGTTTATGCTATCATATTAACAAGCTTAAGTCTATTAGTCTTAAGCATTGTATTAATGTTATATATACTTTTATCATAATAAGTAAATTGTAATAACCTTTATATGGCAGCTGATAAGTTAGCAGCAGGAATTCATCAGTTCAGTGCCTTTATGAAGTTCCCATAGGGTTATTACAATCATCACAGTTCAAATCACTAATTATTAAAATCCAAAGTATTATATATTCCCACCTCCTTTTCCGTTCAGATTCTACAAGCAATAAGCATGAGTCAGGATAAGGAAAAATATGTAATTTTAGAGTAAAATTGATATTTTATACTTATCCTGACTCATGAGGTATGCCCTCCCATCCTCCCCACATAACACTTTGGATTTCCCTGGAAATTCAAGCGTTGGGCTCAGTATATGAGGAGAGAGTGAGGCACATGGGTTGAGGTGGCGCCCTCGTTCCCGCGCTTGTGGAAGGGAGGTAACTCGTGGTGAGTACTAATTAGTGATTTTTTATTGAAGGGAACTTCAATTGGGAGATACACGTGTTCCACTATGTTCGCAAGAAGAAGAAGACAAGCAATAAGCATGAGTCAGGATAAGTATAAAATATCAATTTTACTCTAAAAATTACATTATTGTCACACCATTGTTTCAGTCTATTATCAGCAATTGAGGCTAGAACCTTGCATAAGCAGTTGATCAATGAAATGCCTCTATAATTGTTTGGATCTGTTTTATCACCAGATTTATGCAAAGGGCATATGATGCTTTTCCCCCAAATGAACTATCATACAGTTTGTTAAAGAGTTTAGTTAATATAGGTGATATGTAATTCTTAGTAGCTTTAAAGAACTCTGCGACTAATCCATCCGGTCCTGGTGATTTATTATTTTTAATATTTTTCAAGCTTAGAAATACCTCCTCTTCCGAAAAAGGATCATTTAATACAGTTAAATGTTCATCCTCTATATCAGTGTCAGTATCCACTTTGCTCCACACATCTTCAATATTATCATCAATGGAAACACAGTTTAAAAGTTCATTAAAATACTTAAATCATTTTTCTACAGATATGCCCGGAGTAGCTGAAAGATTCATCTTACATGATTTTAACACTTTCCAAAATTGTTTTGGATCTTTCCTTGATTCACTGAGTCTTTTTCTTTGAATTTGAACATAATTTTCTTTCTTTAGGTGAAATGTGAGTTTAAAATGCCTTTTGTAATATATGTAGGTATCAATACTACCTCCAACAGCCCTATGAGATCTCAGGGCTGAGTATTTCTTGTGCTTCAACTCCTCCTCAGGTGGCTGATGTATATTCATTGAACCAGTACCTGGGTTTCTATAAGTTTTCTTGAACTGATCTGCTGCTCTTTGATAAAGATATGTTATAGATTCCACACTCTGTTCAACATTTTCCTCTATCTGCTTAAAAATATCATCACTTTATTCTAAAAATAACTCCTGGAAATGAAGCATAAATATATTGCAAGTATCCTGAGACCAGTAATATTTGGTCCAACTCTCCTGGTCCATTTGCTCTGTGTCATTTGACTGATTATCTGATGGAGCTGGTTGATCTGGCACCAGAGGAAAGACAATAGCACAATGTAAGGGGAAATGATTGGACTCATCCTTCTCAAGCACACCGAAAGAGCTAAAGTGTGGAAATAAGTCAGTGCTTGAAATGAAATAGTCAACCACACTGGCACCGTTATGGGTTATACAAGTGAAGTTACCTAGTTTATCATCAAATAGTCTCCCATTTAGTGCATGAAGACCATGGGTACAACATAAATCTGCAAGTGAAACACCATATTTGTTGTATCTTGTTTGGTCAGCAGGAACTGTACTAGTTGTGATATCAAAATAAAACCACTAAATCAGAATCTAATATTTGTTTTAATTTAGCTTTTATTACCGTTACAATATCTTACATTCCTAACTTTCTATTACACTAAACCTCTGTCAAACAATCTAACGCCCAAATGGTTACCACTAACGAACTATCTCAAGGCGTGCTGCCTTATCAACTTATCGAAACGAACTAACTACATTTTCACTTCGAACTCCACAGGTGGCGAAAACGCATGCTTTTTGCATGCTCAAGCTTTCCGCGAAGTAAGTTGTTGTCAGGTGTGTTTTCGCGAACTGTTCGTATGTACACAAACTGAAACCTAATAACCTGTCTGGTTAACAGTACTGACTGACTGACTGAGTTTGGTTTTACGCCGCTTTTAGCAATATTCCAGCAATATCACGGCGGGGAACACCAGAAATGGGCTTAACACATTGTGCCCATGGTTAACAGTAGTGAATAAATCAGTACAACGATTGAACAATACATTTGTGTACGTGGACAATCCTTTTGTCCAATGTGTTATCCTTTGTATTTCTTGGAATGTTAAAAGTATCATACGGGTAATCCTCACTGTTATCGTGAATATATTGCAACTTGTCACTGGGAATAAAATCTAAAAAGTTACCCATTCTTGCATTAAAATCCCCTCCCACTAATATATGGTGTTGGTTATATTTTTGGCTAATTGTCACAATATACTTTTCCAGACATTGGATTCCGTCCATGTCCTTATCAGCATATATGGGGGAAGTTTCAGGTGAGATATAAACAAACATCATCACAGTGTCTTTATCAAGTCCAAGCTTAGATGTTTCAAACAGTATGACCACACAATCCTCAAAATGAGCAAACGTTCTTCTAATATAGTCTACAAGTTCTTGTTTAATGAACAAAGAGACACCACCACTGTATCGACCCATCAACTTTTGCTTTGGTCTACAATAATGGTATTAACGAAAACCGGACAGTAATGTCTCAAAATCCTTCGGATCTCTAGCAAAGGTCTCACAGAGTCCAATTATGTCATATCTAGAGCAGAATTGTTTAAAGTCACTAAACATAGAACTCACGTGTTTGTATAATCCTTCGATATTCCAACTAAGGATAATACATGAGCCATGGCCTAATCCGCATTTGTCTCGGTAAGTTGTTGATCGCGTGATTCTACTTGGAGTTCTCTCTCGTGGCTTTCTGTTTGAGTGTGTGCTCCGTTTGAATTATGAGATCGTTGGTTTCCACCCGAGATACACACATTCTTATTATTTTCTCTGTCATGAATGAACACTTTCCCATCAACGTAACTTATCATGTCGGATCTTTGGTTTCAATCCCGCGAGAGAATATGAATACAATGGTGCAAGCGATCGGCGAGCTTCTCGTACACGCTGTGTGAGATCCACTGTAACACGTCTTGGGGTTTCCCGGTCTCGTAGTTTCCTTGTGGATGTAGGCAGAATATTATTCTTGTCGCTTGTGAGAACAAAGTTGATGATGATCGGTGGATTTCGTTTTCCATTCCGTAGATGATGGGCTCTTGTGATAAGAATATCGTCCGCTTCAGCTATATCCAGATTGTCTCTGATAAAAGCCCTGACTTTATTTTCAGATTTGTCCCAAGTCTCCTCCTTCTCTTCTTCAATGCCGTGGAATAGCAAGTTATTTCTCCTTGAACGGGACTCATAATCATCAAGTCTATCATTTAGCTGCTTTACCTGGTCACACATGAGTTTATTATCAGAACGGAGCTGGGTAATTTCTTCCCTCTGCTCACTTGCCTGTGCCGCCATTTTGTCAACTTTCGTATCCAATGTTGCTTCATGATCATTAATAGTCTTTAGGTCAGATTTCAAGTCCAATATAGCAATTATTAAATCATCGTTAGTGTATTTGGCCTTACTAATACCTACAGCACCTGTATCTTCTAGCGAGAGCGTTGACTGCCTGTTAGACTTGGGGCCGGGGTTAGTCTCCACGTCACCACACTCGGTAAGCAACAAAGACATGATCAAAACTAGTCTCAAAGTCATCGAAACATACTTTTTTCCGATTGATATGCCATGCACAGTCTATCTTGACTTGTGGGGTTGACAGAAGGTCCCTATTTTCATTCGGTATTGTTCTAGACTAATACCCATCTCGGGAGCTTCGTCGACATGTGTACACTCTCACAATACCCAGCATGCAAGACTTTGAAAGTGTTATAAACACGGACAATTCTTGCAACTACAAAATTGTTTTTGCTTAACGTTTTTAGTCACTACTAGGCATTGAGTTGGTACGCCATAAAGCTCAAATGAGACAGGTGAGAAAGCCGTGACACAATGTAAACAAATCTCCATTGCGGTTAGGGTCAACCGAAATAGCAAAACTTGTTACATGAAAGAACAATGTGGCAGATATTGTCCCCTTCGCTCTTAGATATTCTTCAGTTTGTCACACATTTTAGGATGTTTTAAGTTTCATAAGCACAATCTGAAGGCCTACAGTATCTTGTTAACAGAGCAAAGTAATCGAGGAGTAATATTTTTTATTCAAACGGAAATATTGTCAGTGTCAGCAGTGGCCTGTCATGCAATATCCAAGTATCAAAATTAGCTCATATGAGTGCCTATAAAACCATGCTTTACATATTTCAGATTTTTTATAAAGAGATGCATGGGACTTTGAATTGAATTACCTTCCTCCATGTTGATCGAATACGAAAACTATGTGAGAAGAATAGTAACTTTCTGGAGTATTGGATGGAGTGAAATAAAGTGTATATCTTAATTATGAGAACATTATTTGAAGTTTTGTTACCACATAAATTATTCACATATATTGGTACATTTTAGGAGTAATATTACAACTGTAATTTTGATTAATTCACTGGAAATGATAGCAAGGTATGTTTTAAGAATCTTGCTTTTTTTAGTAAACGTGGAAGGGTAATAAAATTAATAATAATCTAATCAATAATAAATATTTATTTAATTGATTGACATATCAGATTCTTATGATTTTAAGGCAGAACTAGGCAAACAAACACCATACATATCATGGCAGGACAATCACTTGGTATTAACTTAGTTTCTTGGCTCCTGCTTTTAGATGTTTTTTTAAATACTACATTTACTAATAAGATAATTCTGAAAGTGATTGCTAGTATCATAACTCATTAAAGTGATTTCAACATCCAGAGAATTTGAAAAAGCAAATGCTACGTTTTGGTCAAACCCTGGTCAGGCATTATCCAGTCCTAGAACAGAATAACTTACACAAATCTCAGTTGACTTTCATGTAACGGAATAAATATTGAAACATATATTTAACCCATATTTGATGTAATTCTTCTGATAAATCAGTTTTTTAGGAGGTTACTAATATTTGGAGACTGAGCCAGAGCTAGTGTTTATTAAGATGATGGATTTGGACAAATTGTTCAAGGTTTGTTGATGATTATTTGTAAAATGAGTTTCATATTAAATTGCACACTGGTTTGTAGGAGGTGAACGCTTCAGGACATTTTCATGTCTGTTTTCCTAAACCTTTGTTATGACTTTAACCACATTTTGAATCAACTTTACTATAATTTTTATGACACCAGTAAGTATCTCAGAAAAGGAAATAGATTAAAATCAGTGTTATGTCCTCTAGGGATATGGTCTCAGATCTAATAAAACAAAGATTATCATTGTATAATTAAGAAGCAATAATGTCAATATGTAATTGTATTGACAAAAAGCTTTGAACATAGGATATATTCTTTGCACCTTATTTACACTAGTAGTTAGCAGTTAAACATCTCTGATGAAAAAACAATAGATCTACATTTGTATTTTGTGTAACATTCTATTTCAATGCTAGTTAATTGTTCGGATAACTGTGGATCCTCTGTTCCAAGATTTTGCATCACACGTTTCCTATTTCTGGAAGATGGATCAGTGTACAGGTGCAGACTGTATCTTGGATCTTTTTTTATGTTCTGGTGGTGTGACATACCTGTACATAAACGCTGGCAGTTCATGAAGTCCAGTATTGTGGAAGTTTGTATGTAAATTAGGATTCCACAACAAAGTACATATAGAAAAATAAAATGGAAATGATGATTAAAAAATTATTTCCTTATATTTAGTGTCATTTTATCATGGTGTACAGATTTTGAAGAGAGAAACTTTACTGAGAATTGCTGCAGATCAGCTGTTGAATATTTGCTTCTGGGTATGTCCAGATACGTCCATGGAAACATATTGTTTACAAGCCCAATTACCTTTTTCAGATTTCCAAATAAGATCAAATAGGTTATGCCGTGATTGATTTGTTTACATTACTTATATACAGACAAATAAGGTGCATGAAGTAGTAGACGGGAAATATTTTCTGCTTTTTATTTACCATTCTCTTAATTCATTAAAAATAGAAACCCATGTTTTCAGATTATTTAACTAAATTTGAACAACGCCAACGGATAAGTAAAGGCGCCACGCGCAGTGTTGATAATCTATTTATAGATACCGAAACGATCTGCAACATGAACATGTAGTTGTGTTCACAAGTTTTATAAAATTATAAACCCAAACAACAAAATTCAGTTACTCTTCCCCTGCTAATATCTGTGACGGAGGTGAATTGCCAGATTGATTAATTGATTCGAAAGAAATTGTATACTTCCTACAGTCTCAGCAGCTAGTCGAGACGATTTTTCATCGGGCATGTGCCTCATTTTCACACGCCAGTTGCAATCTGCCAGCTAAAATATATTAAAAATCACATGCGTATAACTTGCCTCTTTAAATAACATTCACAAACGACGGATACCAAAGTATCACAAGCAGAATTCATCAACAACGTTTCGCCGGCGGTGACGCCATTGTGATTTGTCAGTGGTTGTCCCCCCTAACGTCAAAAACGAAGTGGGCGAGGCTTATCGGCCGGAACTGGATCGGTCTATTAACTGATCGCCAATGGAGATTTAACCACGCCCCCAAAAAGAAAGGGAGATAACTCTCAAAAGGTTCGACAACATAGCTGTCAAAACCAACTGTCAAAATGGCAGTCGTGATAACGTTTAGAGACATTCCCGATGATATTGGCCCAAAATATTTGCCTTATGAACCTACTTGGGGTGGCTTTTTTAGTTTGGCCTCAAACCTTCATTCCATTACTTTCCATTCATGTTGTGATAATATCGTGTCAATTTGCGGGAGGATTTATAGAAGTCAACGGAAAACCGAAACTGCTCATGTAATCAACTTGTCCCTTGACAGAATTCACAAATCGTTCACTGACGCCCATTGTAGCTGCAAATGTGGGTGAGTAGTACACGTAATAACTTCGGGTGTCTTTCCAATTTATGGTGTAAATCTGTTGGGGTTTTATAAGCGGCATATATAGATATCAAATCAATTACACTCTGTGTGCCGGCCGTTTCAGTTGTTGACCATGAAACCCATGTTATCCCATATGATTATGTTAAAGGTCACATGCAACCAAAAAATCAAACATAATTAAAACACAATTATCACTTCTTCATGACATATAATATGCATTGCTGATTATGAAAAAACAAATAAACAAAATTATAAGCGTATAATCGCAAATCAAAAGTGCAATATTTTGTACTTGGGTTTACCTCCCTCGAAACGAATCAGCCGGGATACCGAACCCAGTCAGAGCTGGTGGGTGTGCACTCAAGTGTAACGGCTGGTTCATTTGCAGATGCCGCCCTCATGCACGGCTCATTGTGTGTGTATATATAGAGATGTTGGGTTTTGTAAA